ACCAGGGCCAGCAGTCCAATCAGCCAGGTTTAGCCAAACAGGAACCAGGGCCAGCAGTCCAGTAAGCAAGGTTTAGCCAAACAGTAACCAGGGCCAACATACAATAAGCCAGGTTAGCCACACAGTAACCAATGCCAGCAGTCCAATAAGCCAGATTTAACCAAAAAAGAAGAACACCCGTCCAATAAGCCAGGTTTAGCCAAACAGTAACCAGGGCCAGCAGTCCAGTAAGCCAGGTTACTCCATGGAAGGCAGGTTGGTAGCCATTGTTTTTTCTACAATCCTAATTTCTCTCTGAAGTCTATGACTGTTTTGTTGGGTTGCAGAACCAAACCAGACAGTTATAGTTATATAGTTATAGTTAATATGTATGTATGTATGTATGTATGTATGTATGTATGTGGTTACATATATTGATGAGGGATGCAAAATTCAAATGGAACAATTTGACTAGCCTTCCTTGTCTCCTAATTTTGTAGTCGGGAATTATAGCTCTGTAGGTATGCAGAAGGCAGTTGGGATGCCTTGCTTGAGGACATAACTGGGGTCTGTGTTTTCTCTACTCAAGGGGCTCTAGTATTGGGGGAACCGATCACAGCCAGCCTGGGGACCGATGGCACTCATTACTGGAACAAGAATTGGGCGAAAGCTGCAGCATTTGTGACCTCACCACCCCTGAGTCTGGATCCTACCACGCCTGATCATCTGACCTCACTTTTAGCCTGGTAAGAAAAATCCAGATGCTGGCAAACTACGGGTATCAACCATCATGCTGGAGATGTTATGGAAATATTAAAAGAGCAGTTGGGAACTAGGTTTACTGTTGCAAAGTGATGTGTTCATCACTTTGAGAGGCAGTACGGTAGCTGTCGTGACTCCGGGGCTACATGGGTACTGTTCTGGCCTGCCGGTGGCTAGTGGAGCTGGCAGCAGAGTCGGACAGCGACGAGGTTGGGGAGGAACCTGGGCCAGTCCTGGAGGCTGAGGAAGGCTTGGATGAGGGCTCTGCACGGGAGGCAGAGATGGGGCCAGGGCAGCCTGGCAGTCATCAGCTGCCTTCAGAGTTGGACAGCAGTGAGGCAGAGGAGCAGCTGGAGACTGTTCCCAGCCTGCACATGCGCAGAGCTGCCAAAAGAAAAGAACAATTATGACTAAGGGTCGACGTGGGAGTAAAGCCACAGGTGATGGTGAATGGCGCCTCCCATAGGGATTAAAAGAGCAAAAGGGGAGGGGGATTTTGCAAGAAATTATTCGTTTGTAGTGTGAAGCATCTCAGAGACTCTATGTGCTGAGTCCTTCCTTGTCAGCACTGTGTTTGGAAATATTACTTGGCAGCTCTCCAAGCTAGATAAGGTCTGTGCTCCTAATTACACCCTTGAAAGACTGTTGGCCAGGCCTTTGGCTGAATGTGAATGCAAGAAATTCACCTTTGTTTAATAAAAGGGGTTTTGCCGGGACAAAGAGTCTGCTTAGTGCTTTTTGGGGAGGCCTAGGTCAGAACAGTTAAGCAGGAAGAGACGGAAGTCCCAGGCAACTTTTGTGTGTGTGTGTGTGTGTGTGTGTGTGTGTGTGTGTGTGCTTATGGCATACCAAAGAAGAGGAAGCCAACCTATTTTCCAAAAGAAGGCTGGACAAGAAACAATGGATGTAATTTAATCCAAGAGAGAAGCACCCAAGAAGTACGGAGAAACTTCTGTTAGAACAGTTAGGGGCTCCATCGCTGGAAGTTTTTAAGAAGTGACTGGATAGCCACTTGTCTGGAATGGTAGAGGGTCTCCTGCCTTTCCCATTGAAAGCAATCCCTCCATTGATTCTGAATGTCTTATTCACTGTTGTTGTGTGTGTGTCCTTTCTTTCAGTGGAGACCTGCAGGTGACAGGAAGCGGCCACTGTACTTACAGCACAGCCCAAAAAGCTCTTGGCAAGGAAAACTTCACTCTCATCCCTGAAGGGGTTAATGGAATTGAAGAAAGAATGACGGTGGTCTGGAATAAATGTGTTGTGAGTGGAATATATAAAGGAAAAATGGAAGGGGAGGGGAGAAACTAAAAGTGGAACAAAAGAAAGATGCAGTGTCAGTCCTGTCCCAGCTTGGGACATTGAGGAAAGGAAGACCCTGGATTCCATTTGCAGTGAAAGGTATACTTTTACTAAAGCCAAGCAGTTACAGCGTAGATATGAAAATTCCCGCATAAAGTTGGTATTTTTCCCCTTCTCCCAGGCCTTCTTGCTAGTGTCCAATAAAGTTCAAATTAGTTCTTTTTGTAACAGTTCTACAATTTGGCACTTCTTTGATGGGCATTCACATTCCGTTCCCACGTCGGTGTCCTTGGGATCGTTCAACTGTTGTCTCTTGTTGGCACTTCTAGTTCCTGTCATCCCCCCTTCCCTGTATCCTCCTTTCCCCTGTAAGTTTGAACAGCCTCTAAACACATTGTTGTAAGTCAAGGACTACTTGGATTTCTTTTCCCAAAACACAATACACTTTAGGATATTGTAAAAGGAAACGTGTTAATGAAGGGTTATTCTAATTGTGTCTCCAACAATATCATTCCTTTCCTTCTCTACAAATACAGTGGGGTCCTTTAGACCAGGGGTGGGCTTCAAAAATTTTAGCAAAGAGTTCTCTGCCCGGTTGCTGGGTGGGCGTGGCCATGGTGGGCGTGGCCTAGTTGGCCTCCTGCACCATTGGGGGGGTGGGGGTGTTTTTGCCGTACCTGGGCTCCAGAGGCTTTCCTTGAGTCTCCGGGAGGGCGAAAATGGATTCCC